GGAGGAGGAACTGGCCGGCGGGACTGGCCCGGGTGCACGCAGATCCCGGGGTGCTGCCCATCCTGTGCATGGCCCTGGCGGGGCGCAAGAGCAAATCTGGCCCCAGGGATTCCATCCCGCCCCGGCCCCGGCCCCGGCCCTAGCCCTGGCCCTGGCCTCACCTCCCTCCTCTCTACTGCGTAGTTGCGTACTGATACTCATGATAATATTAAAACTTACTTAATTAGAAAATACCAGACATTTATATGTCCGGTATTTTCTCAATTTGTTTCCTGGACAGAAAGCTCAAATACCAGGCTGTCCGGTTCAAAACCGGACCCCTGGGAACCCTACCAGTCACCGGGGTCTCCATTCTCCAGCCCACTGGCCAGACTCTCCAGTTCTGTGTTGGTTCCTGTAACAACCAATTCCCTCTTCCCTCCCCTCGTTAAACCAATAAGAGGGAGGGACTTGGAAACCCACTTCCCCACACCATCCACACAGGCAGCCACCAGGAAAATCTGAATAGCTAATCTAGGGAGAATGGCTCCTTCAGGCAGGACTCTGCCCAGACACACACTGAAAGAAAATCCCTGACCCAAAAAGCTGACAGTCTGATGTGAGAAAGGAAACTGAGGAACAGCAGAATGGGACTGACCCAACATCACAGCTAGGGCTAGAACCCAGAAGTCCTGGTGCTCAGTTCCCGTTATCAGGGCCCAGTTCTGCAGCATGCCACCTGCTTAGCAAGGGGCTGACACTGCAAGTCAGGGAGCTCTGCAGTCCCACAGCGCCACAGAATGGCCACAGGCTGGTGCCAACAAGTCCTGGAACTACAGTGATTCTGCTGCTGGTGGGGGCTGGGAGCCCTGGTGCTGCTGGTACATACAAAGAGGAAGGGGGCAGCGGGGGCAGCCCTGGGCACAGGGAATGGCTTCAAATGAAGCTGGGCTGCTCAAGCTGCCTTTTAAATGTGCCCCAACCCACGACGCTGCTAGGCTGTCTTCCTCCCCCCGCAGTGAATGATGTCACTGCCTGGGGAACCCCACCCTCCCTCCCCACTGAGCTTTTCCTGCATTTGTTGCTGTACCACAAAAGGCTTTGTGTCCAGAAACATCCAGGGACGCCTTTCTGCTACTGAGATGTAGCCATCTCTAGCGTGGGGTTGCCAGTTATACAAGGGCCCCCCGCCCAGTGCTGAGGTACAGCCATCTTAGGGGGTGAGGTGGCTGGTTACACAGGGACCCCTCAACCTGGCCACCTTTGGGATGGGGCAGCTGGTTACACGGGAATCCCTTGCCTGACACTGAGATGCGACCACTTCTGGGGCAGGACAGCTGGTTACACGGGGACCCCTTGCCTGGTGCTGAGATGCAGCCTCCTCTGGGGCGAGGTGGCGGGTTACACAGGGACCCCTCTCCCAGTGCTGAGATTTGGCCACCTCTGGGGCAGGACGGCCAGTTACATGGGAACCCCTCACTTGGCACTGAGCTGAATGTGTTTGAGCTATCCCATTGCTCCCCTGCCCCCCCAGACCAGTGTGTCTTAATCTCGTCAAACTTGGGATCGGGGTCCAAAACAAACAGTCTATTTCCTCCTCCCATCATATTCCCACCTCCGTGCCTTCCCCCCGGCCCTGGCCCCTCAGCACAGGCGAAGACAATACGAGGAAATGGCACAGAGCAAATTCACTCAGAGACCTAACACTCAAGCTGCCCCCCACCCCAAATCCCAGTCCCTTCCTCCCAATTCCTGGGTCTGGGGAACCAAGGGTGTCTTAGCATAGCAATGGGGTGACTTGAGTAGGAGAGGCTGGGAGCCAGGGCTCCTGCATTCTCTCTCGGGCTCTGGGAGGGGAGTCAGGCCTGGTGGGGTAGAACAAGGGGGCTGGAAGCCAGGATTCCTGAGTTCTTGCCTTGGCTCTGGGATGGATATGAGAACTAGCAGTTAGAGTGGGGAGCTGCATTTGTTTGTGGATCTGGGATTTGTCCTACCTTTTTCCTGAAAGGTCTATTAATAACCCCCCTCCACCCCCCGCCTTTTCCCTGGCAGCTGGGCCGGGGCAGGAAGGATGTGAACTAGAGAGAGAACTTCCCCCTGTCCCTCCAGGACATTATAAGAGCCTCCAGCCCTGCTGAGTTATTGGAGGCTGGTTCTCCAGGCCGGGGGAACAGCTGGGACTTTACCACCCCTCTACACCCTGAAAGTCCTGCTGGCAGGAGTGTCCGAGGGTCCCTGCTGGTCAGGGTGAGCTGTCATTACCTGGTCTCCTGGGTTTTCTCCTGCCTCTGGGAGCGGAGTGGGGGCTGGTGGGTTAAAGCGGGGGGAAAGGGCTGAAAGCCAGGACTCTTGGGTTCTCTCCTTGGTTGTGGGAGGAGAGCGGGGGCTGGTGGGTTAGAGCCAGGGAGGGGAACTGGAATGCAAGACTCTTGCCCCTCTACTCTGTGTGTCTTACCCTCCCCTCTGAGTAGCCCTGTCTCTTCCCCTCCACATACACATCTGGCCTGCGGGAACCCTCCCCACCCCTGTATCTGCAGGCGCCATGAGCAGGGGCACTGCCAGGGGCCCAGCTGGCTGCGTCCGGGGCTGGTGGGTTAGAGCCAGGGAGGGGAACTGGAATGCAAGACTCTTGCCCCTCTACTCTGTGTGTCTTACCCTCCCCTCTGAGTAGCCCTGTCTCTTCCCCTCCACATACACATCTGGCCTGCGGGAACCCTCCCCACCCCTGTATCTGCAGGCGCCATGAGCAGGGGCACTGCCAGGGGCCCAGCTGGCTGCGTCCGGG